TTGCTGTCTGTATAGAGCTTTTCCATCTTTGGCTGCAAAGTTGATAATCAATCTGGTTTCAGTACTGACCATCTGGTGATGTCCATGTGTAGAGTCGTCTCTTGTGTTGCTGGAAAAGAGTGTTTGCTATGACCAGCTTGTTCTAGCTACCTATTTATTAAAGCTGTAAATGGACACATCATTTTATTAACTATATCCTATTGTCAGTATTATGAACCACTTACCTCTACAGAATTCAGTAGCAGCTTTTTTCTTTTAAAACAGGGATGGGAACCCCCCCCCCCAAATTTTTAGATGTTCCACCTCTACAGAAAGCAATATTCTTCCAGAGTTTCTTTAATAAGGTTTACTGTTATAGGATACAAAAGTTTACTGAAATCTTAGCAAATGGATTGTTTTTCATTTAGAACCCAATTTGTCCAGCAAGGTCCTAAGGTTAATGTTTTCTCAGTCTCTTAATTCACCCTGTGTGAATTGGTGAGGAAGCTATTCTCTTAATAGATAAAGAAAGAATAGCCAGATGTTTAGGATGTGAATCTTTCTCAAGTTCAGAATGTGCCATTATATCAACAGCATTTTTGCAGAGGAAGGGCCATAAGAATAGGTTAATTGATGAGAAGTAGTGGGAGGCTGATTCAACAGGTGAACAGGGCTGGGTTCTTTTGAGGGGAGGTTGGGAGGTTAGAACTTTTATTTCCTTTAAAAGCTATTTTAAAGCCTACATCGTATCTTTCATGTGTTCCCTGCTTCAAAATGGTGGGACACCTGTGCTACTAGTTTTCAGAAAATACAGCCTTCTCTCACAGGGTTGTTGCTGTGGCAGTAGTACACTACCTTTAGTTCCTATACAAAAAATAGAATATAAATTTGACAAATATAAAATATAATGGCTTAGAAGCTGCAGATAATCTTGGAGACATAATACTGGTACCATGAGTTGTCTCAGGAAATCTTTTTTCTTACACCAGTGATTGCAGCAGCAAGATAGATCGATGGATGATTAGATGGATGGTTGGATAGATAAGATAGATGATAGATGATAGATAGACAGACAACAGTTTCAATAAAAGATTATCCAATTTCATTGTAATTGTCCATACATAATCTATGTCTGTTGCTGTTTTGCTCTTTTTCTTTTTGTTTTAATTACAGGTAGACCTTGCTTACCGACTGCCTCATGCAGTAACCAGATTGTGCTGAAAAAATAACTTTGCGACCAAGGCACACATTTATGACCTTCAGTGTCTCTCTCTCAGTCACATGTTCAGCATTACAGTTGTTAGTATGCGTTGTCCTGTGCCTGACTCTATTTTTCCCCACTCGCAGAGCAGAGAGATTGCTTAAACAAGAGATCCCTTTAGGCCAGGGTTCCTGAGCCTTGGCGACTTGAAGATGGGTGGACTTTTGAATTCTGGGAGTTGAAGTCCACACATCTTCAAGTCGTCAAGGTTGAGGAACCTTGCTTTAGGCACTCTCTCCTATGCCTAGCCCATTTCCACCCCCACCCCCCACCCCCGCAGAGCAGAGAGATTGGAGAAGGAATTACAAGAGAGTAACCAGGTGCACACAATGGGCAATACAGATGGAAAGGAATGCGCTAACACCAGCTATTTGTCTAGTGCATTCGTGGTTCCTAGAACCAAGCATGCTAGGCAAACAGCTGGCACTATCACATTCCTTTCCATGTGTATTCCCCATTGTGTGCCTGCTTACTCTCTTGTAATCCCTTCCTCTCCAATGAATGTAAATACAAACATTAATTCCCTTCTTGCTAATTATCCCAGCACCAGGACAAGCATTCCAAAGGGTGGGGGAGTGGGAAAAAAGGAAAGCTGAAGTAAAATCATAAGCACAGTTGCAGTCACATGATTTTCCACTTAGTGACCACATCACTTAGTGACCAAGTTGCCAGTCCCAATTGTGGGCAGTAAACAAGTACTACCTGTAAAGGCAAACATACTTTTAAAAATGACTTCAGACACACTGCTGCAGTGGGATTTTCATTTTACCGTGCTTCAGTTTTTAATTATTGTAGCAGATTGGGATTCTTTCACAATTATGTAAAAGCATTTTCAACCAGTTTACACGACAGATCAGCAAAGATAAGTTGCAGTGCTGGTTACAACTCAATATAGTATTCTTGGTTTCTTCATCCAGTTGTGCTATTCTTAAAGCAAGGAGAGGCAAAGTGTGGCTTGAGGGGTGTGCCCTGCTCCTCAGAACCCCCTTTGTACTGAAATTTGGCAACAAAATCGCAAAATTTCAGTTACGTGATTTTTTGCCCATTTTTCTAGTTTGGGAAATTTTCAGGTGAAAAGGAAGTGGTTTCCTTCTTGGAAGTCTCCCACTAACATCTCCATCTTTAAAAAAGATGGGCAAAAAAAAGAGGGGCATAGATTGCTCCTTCTGGTGACATCACAGCATCATCAGATGACCGCCTTCAACCCTTCAGAAGTTTGGAAAATTAGTTGTAGCCTCCATCCCCTGAAATATTTCCCACCCAGTCTTTAAAATAATAGAATTTCATTTGAATTAAATACTAGCAACCTTGGCAGTGCCTGGGCCCAGAAACTCATTTTTAGTAATGTATTGTAGATATAGTAGGCCAATATTTATTAAACAATTTTTAAAAATCCTTAGAAGTCCTGCTGAATTAAGATAATCAGTTCATTCTCTAAAAGTCCAGGTATTGCCATGACTTATTACACTCAAAGAAAAAGTCAATATGTAGCTCATTTCAGAGTTGAATTATACACTATACTTGTTCAATTCTTTCAGGCAACTTGTAAAGGGAACAAAAGACATTATTTTAAAAAGGAGTTTGTAATTCTTGCCTAACAATGATTGGCATAATTTCTAATCTACCATGGACTCACTAATACTGAACATTGTCAAATGCTTCTGTGTGTGTGTATGCGCTCCTTCGAGTCATTGTAGACTCCTGGTGACTGTCTGGACAAGTCCCTGCAGTTTTCTTGGCAAGATTTTGGAAGTGGTTTGCCATTGCCTCCTTCCTAGGACTGAAAGGGAGTGACTGGGCCAAGGTCACCCAGATGGCTTCATGCCTAGAGCAGACTAGAACTCATAGTCACCCGGTTTCTACCCCAAACTGGCTCCAAATGCTTCTAGGAGTCAAATAATTTCATCTACAATTTCTTTTCATACATTCATTAAAGTTATAGAAGTAAAATTCATTAAAGTTATAGTAAAATAGTAATATATAGCAAAATAATTAAAGTTAATTAAAGTTATAGAAGTAAAATCACATCTTTCTTCCCCACTCATGATTTCTGTGCCTACTCCTTTGCCAATACTGTACAAGTTTAAGTAAACAAGTCCTTGCATTACACAAATAGCAGAAGCAACTCAGAACACCCACCCACACTTTTTACACACTGAGTCCTCTTTAACCATAACAGCTGAAAATTTTGCATTATTGCCTTGCCTACTGCAATAGTCCTCACACACAAACACTTTATTTAACTACAGTCCCCACTACTAAAAAGCTGAACTCATTTGATATAGAGTTTACACTATTTAATGTGCAGTCTGTAAAAAAGAAATTGTTATTGTAGGGAACTCACATTAAATACATGCCTTAACCAAACACATTAAAAGCACCATCTAGTACAGTGTTTCTCAACCTTGGCAATTTTAAGATATGTGCATGGCTGGCTGGGGAATTCTGGGAGTTGAAGTCCTCACATCTTAAAGTTGCCAAGGTTGAGAAACACTGATTTAGTGCATAAACGATCAAATGTCTTGAAAAATAGTTCATGATGCATACTTTCTTTGGAAGGTCTGGAAAAATCAGTGCACAGAATGCAATAGAAAATAATGCACTACAATGAACTAAACATTTAAGGTAACCTCAAACAAATTACAGTTATGGTGTAACTGGTTGAAAAAAAAAATTCTTGTCTAATTAGACAAACCTCCCATTCAACTTGATTGTTCTTATTCTTTTATTTAGGCACAACACAGATACAAAAGTATTCAAGTCCAATTTGGTGGAACTGTTGAGTGTCTTTAAGGAACACAATAGATTATAAAACCAGCCCAAAATATATACAAGAGTCCTTTCCAAACTGAGGGAATCCTTTTATAAGATCCTCAGTTTTATTTTGTTTATCTCCTTTCTCCAAGTTTAGTGAATACATTTCATACAGAAAAAAGTATCTGCAGTATAGTAACCATTTTTGTTGAAGTTGTTAATCAATGTTCATCCACTTTGTGGATCCCACAGTAAAATTCTCAAATTCTATGATGCAAAAGCTTCAGTTATGTGAAAAGGATAAATTATACAGCTTTAAACAAATAATAATACTTTTAAATTATTCACAGTATTCAGCTTGCTTGTACTTTTAAATGCAGAAATGTCATATTTCCTCTATAGTTTTGTCATGGACTGAAAGGAAATTTTGAAACTCAAGATAACGTTTTGGAACACTAAATGTATAAATTAAGAACCATGAACTCTAAACATGGGAAGTCCTAAAACACTACTGAATAAAGCTTCAGTTCTGAACCACCGAGATATTAAGGAAAGCCTTTAACTTTTTGAACATTTGCTAGTAATGTCTTATACCTTTCCCTATTTTTTTCAGGAATGATTACATTTACAACTGGTAGTATCCAACTTTCTCTGATCACCAGTAGGACCAAAACTGCCAGTGGAACCCCCTATTTCTTCTTGTATCTCTTCCAAGGTGAGATCAGTTTGCCTATTGAAGAGAACCCAACACCATAGTATCCTTGCATGGTTTCCATGGTTACATCTGAGAGTGTATATGACATACTGTAATACAGAGTTTGTGTTTTTTTACACTAGTGAAGCAGGAGACAAAGTAGCTGTGAGTTCTCCCCTGTTCATCAAACCATCTTGTTTTGGGGAGTCATAAGTAGGATTCCATTTCCAAGTTTAGTGAAAGAAATGAGACAGGCAAAAGGAATTTGGGAAGAACAGGAAAAAGCTACTGGAATGACCTCATGTCCTGCTTTATCAGCACGTTAAAAATAAACATATGGAGTGAGATGCTATCTAAATTATTCACACTTAACTGATGAAGTAGATACCAATCTCAACTAACCATTAGATCACTGGATTGAAATCTAGCAATCCTAGCTGGAGCATCTGATTAAGATATTTTCATAAGTAAATGGGAAATAGGACATTCGTAATGCAGCACCAGCAGGTCTCTTTCTCAAAAACCCAGCTTGAAGAAACTTTAATGTTAAAGACTCTGTCTTTAAAAACTAGGAAGGCAACTGAAATGGATTCAGATTAAATTAGAGATCTTAATTCCAACTGAGATCATTGAATAAATGGCACACTAAATCCAATGGGAAATAAATTATTTGAACTTAGGCAGCAACTCTGACTGCATTTAATGGCCTTAATTGCAGAAGCAGAAAATGGGCAGAGAGTTAAAACTTCAGTCTATAAACTTTTTATGACTCTTGCAGAATTTTGTTCCCATGAAAAGTGATATAATTTAGCACAAAAAAACTCAAAGTAAGGGTTGTACTGGGAACTAGAAGAAACCAACAATTCACTTATTTTGAAACAGTGACTTCATCTGATTTGTCAATGGTTTTGTTCAGAGATATAGAAGTCAGAACATAGCTAACAAAATATTTTCCATTTTAAAAACATCTCAGAAATACAGTAAAACTCAGAGCAACATGTGTGTTAAAGTCCTGTCACTGAAAAAAAATAAAACATAGACAGAAATTCTAGGGTTTTTTTAATCCAGTGTTCTCAGACAAATGGGATCACTTGAAAATATGACTAACATAATAAAGTAGTCAGCATAATTCATTAAAATTAATATCTATTATGATTTAAAGATTTGGATAAACCTCTGCATTCAGTCTGCTAGAATAAATGATGAGGAAGAGAAGAAGAGAAACACTTTTTTTGTACAAATTCTGTTAAAACTGAAACTGTACCTTTTACATCAAAGTGTTAAAAGTGTTCAAACTGAAGTTGGAAGCTCCAGAGTTCAGATGGACATTTACAGTCTCATACACACACACACACAACTCTAGTTCTCAAAAGGCTCCAATCTCAGTCCCCCACGGTCTGTAGGGTTTGCCCAGGCTGGCTGGCTGTGCTGATGCAGGTGGGCTGAGAGCATTAGGAGACAATAGGTGGAACGAACCAAAAGAAAAGGGGAATGCGGATAAGGAGGCCATGGAAGAAAGCAAGGGAGGGGAGAGTTTAGAAGCAGAAGTGACCACAGGGAGCACTGGTCCAATGGTGCCATTAGGGGGCACTCTCAGTGAAGATGACTCAGCATGGGGAGGCACGTTTCGGCTCTGGTGATGGCCTTCCGAAGAAGCTGCTGTGCCATTTGAAGCGGTACGCCCATTCTGAGGCAGCAGTAAAGGATGGGAGATGTGAGGGTGATGTCCAAAGGCACTGCCCCAAGGAATCTGTCCAAGCCCACTGTGTGAGCTACTTGCCACTTCCCGTTGAGAGGCGTAATTATTCAGGTGAGATACAAGGCGGACACGGAGGGGATCAGAGCTGTCCAGCCCCTCTATAATGCTAAGGTAGCGGGCTACTTCAGCCAAACACTCACGAAAACCTAGGCTCCGGTAGTCCATCGCGAGAGCATGAGCGTCAAAATAGCCTAGAAGAAAGGATTAAAGAAGGAGGTCTTTAGAATGGGTCCCCATCCATTGGCTGGGTTCATACGTAACACTAGTCTGTGGCTTTGTTTTAACTACAGTTTGATTAATAAGCCAGAATAGCTGGCTTCCCATATTGCATTATGCCCAAACCTTAACACATCGTATTCAGCTTAGAACAATGTATGCACAGGATCATTTGTCTCTTGGCCATTTACTTCAGTCAAGTAGCAATCGCTTCCCCTAAATAAAATACCATTAAAAATCAGAACAAAATTGCAGGAACTACTGTCCACTGAAACAAACGAGTCCCGAGACTGCATCCAGATGTGCTGCATCATGTCTTGTAGAGGCCTTTTACCCACAACCAATAGAAGTGTCAATCAGACTGTCATGGAGGTCAAGTAATAATACATTTTAACAATTATGTTGTAATTGTGCCTAGAATATGAAACTATAGACAGCAAAGAAAAACACACCCCACTTGGAACTATGGAATGTGTGTGTTAATGTATGGCTGCCTTGTGCTAAATCAGAACACTTGTTCGCAAACAACGTTATATTATTGGACATACTAAGAAATTAACTTGGGCCCTATTATGGGCTAAGCACTTAGTTTGTTCCTGAACTATGAAACTCATCTGCCTCTTCTCTGTTTCTCTTATTTTCAACCCTGAATCCAACTTAAATCTCCACAGACATAAAACTCATTAGCAGAATAGATATCCACCTATAGAGGTGGCTGGAAGATAATAACATTGCTTTATAGGAACATTGTGAATATTACTGTGATTTAAAAATGGCACATGACCTTCTTTCATTTTTTAAAATTATCCTGCAACTTAGTGCGTTTTTAGTAAGCCACAAATCAAAGCTAAGGAACAGAAGCAGTCAGGGCCTAAAAGTTTCTAATTAAGTGATGATGGAACTCAAGATTGGGACTTAATCTGTATCTTAATGCAGTCCCAAACATATCTGCTCAGAAGAAAGTACCATTGATCTCAATGAATCTTTCTTCCAAGTAAGTGAACTTTGAATAGCATGCATTTTTATCACCCATGTTTACTCAGAAATGAGTAAGCCCAACATGAGTTCACCCAGCACACTAATAGTTTAGTTAATCATGGTTTACTGAATTATCCCTATCCCTTGGGCTCACACAACCCACCGGACCGTAATCTAGGAAATCACACTTTAACTTAATGTGTAGTCCAATCCCAGCCTCACTCTACTAAATGGGCCTCAAGTAACTCTGCATAAGATTGCATCTGCAATCTTATCTTCAGAAAACCACAATAAACTGGTTATTCTCACAATATCATTAACAAACATTTGGAATACGGTCAACAAAAAATGCAATCACTGCTTATAATCCACAATCTAGACCCTCAAATAAGTTGGGTTACAATTCCCATATTCTAACCAGTATGGAAATTTTATTCCCACATTTCTGGAAGTTGCCAAATGAGGGAAGCTGATCTGAACACTCTGGAACAACAACTCTGATTTTTAATAAGAGTACTCTCCATGCAGCCTATAAATTGCACTGTTGTACACCAGCTTATTACAAGGATGCATCAGTAAAGAGGACATTATTGTTAAGAAATTACACCACTTTCTTGTATCCATACTCTTCCATGATATGCAACTGCAAATCTATTATATCTGTATCCTGTTTTCTGGGCCCATTAGGAAACTCACAGGATAAAACCGTAGCAGTTATCAGCCCAGAAGTAACTTAAAATTGTTGTTGTTCAGTCGTTAAGTCGTGTCCAACTCTTCATGACCCCATGAACCATATTGCG